GGATTAGGGTTTAGGGTTTAGTCTGCGAAGCTCAGGGTTTCAGATGAGGAGTTTCTGAACTTAGGGTTGGATTTGTGACCAGCATGCTGTGAATCCCCCTGTCTTGTAAGCAGCAGGTTTGCGTCACCTTCCTGATAATAGATGTTCTCACTAGCATATTCGCGTATTCTTAGAATGCCTATCATCCAGGGCTTGGGTGTTTCCCTGCCAGGGGTTACTGACCTACTTACTTAGCCCCCGTAACCCTCTAAGTGCAGTTTGGTCAAACCCCGATGACCTCACCCGACCTCATGCCGAAGTTGCGGTTCAAAAAACCCAGACCCCCTAAAGGATCCAAAAAATGGAACCCATTATTACATTGGGGAAACTAGGGGATTATTAGGGGGTTCCATTTTTTGGATCCTTTAGCCCTATACACCCTAAAACTCTAACTAGTAGTTTCCATTTTCTTTTCCATTATCCCTATAAAACCCCTATATGACCCCTATAAACCCCTTTCAAGGGGGTTCCATTTTTTGGATCCTTTAGGGGGTCTGGGAAGTAGATGGTCTCCCAAAAGGTCTAGGGTTTAGGCTCGAGTTGAAAGTAGGGTTTCAGATGAGCTATAGTCTAAACTCCTTAAAAGGGGGATTATGTAGGGGATTATACAGGGTAATATAGGGTAATATAGGGTTTAGGGTTTAGGGCTCAGGGTTTAGGGTCTAAACTCCTCAAAGGGGGATTATGTAGGGGATTATATAGGGGACTACTATAAGGGGTTATTAAGGGGGATACTAGGAGTTTAGACTATAGCTCAGATTGTGTGGAGTTCTAGTACTGCAGAGCACATGTTTGAGCCTGCTTGCTGGGGTTGAAGTTCGATAAGTTTTACCAGCCACTTCTTGAACTTCAGGTGAGATTGTTTGGGACTTATCCAGGATGGCAGTTTAGGATTCAAGCAAACAGTACAAGAAGAAGTTTTGTCCCCAAGCTAGCCTGAAATCCCATAGAGTCGCCATTTAAAACGGTTTTCGGGAGGGTGTTTGAACTCCACACTGCGTTTATAAAAGTTTTGGGCACAGTACATGTCCTCCTCCTCCTCCTAAACCCGAAACCCTAAATCAGCCAACAAATCCGCAGCTTGACTCCTGGAACTCCAACATACGCTTGATATTCAAAGTCCCGCATGAACCCTAGGGTATAGGTTTTGGGGTGCGGTTTTAAGTTAACGTTTAGGGTTGCGGATTTAGGATGCGGGGTTTAAGGTTTATGGTTCAGGGTTTAGGGCAAGTACGTCGAGTGTTGGGAATTGTGGTACTGTGGTACACTAAGGTCGTGCAGGATTCTGGTATCAACAGTAGCGCTCCAAATCAAATTTGTGTCCAAATGCCCGCACAGGCCCACACAATCCCCTTGAGTAGTGTTTTACTAAATCCTCCTTTCGGGTATAGCATTCTACATGAAGCATATAATCTTACATAAGATCGGGACCCAACGAAAATAGGTCTAGCAGCTTGTTGCTGAACAAAATGAACCCAGCAGCCTAAACCCTAAACCCTAAACTCCTAAGCAGTTAGCTTGAAATGTAACCCGTACTCCTGACAGAACTCCAGTGGCTCATGCTTAGAAGCCCGGTTCTGATTACCTAGGCCCCTGCATTACGAACTCTGCGTGCGGTTTAGGGTTTAGGCTTTGGGATTTAGGGTTTAGATCTAGGGTTTAGGGAGTTTAGGGTTTAGGCTTTCGGCAACTTTAGGGTTTAAATTCCCAGTCCTTCAGCTAATCGTATCAGATGGCAGGCTCTTCGGGAACATGCATGCTGCCTGGCGCAGTGAGGTTCAGCATTCGGCTCAGCCGGACCCGAAAAGTTCATGGGTTCCCCTCCTACTACTACTACTACTACTACTACCCCCACCTATACGAACCCCCTGACGAAGAACAGATGTACAGAACGGGTAAGGAGTTTTGATATTGACCCCGAACCCTAATACCTAGCTAGACCTTGCTTTTAACGCCAAGCCACGCTTATGAATCCTCGATTACCCTTCCACGGTAGGTTTGCAGTTTCGAAGCCGAGGTCAGGAGTTGGGGCTTTGGAACCTTGAAGCTTAAATCCTAAACTGCTGAACTTTGCTTCTCGGAGGTTCACCTCAGGATTTATTTTGAATATTTGTTATTATAGGTCGAAGGGGACTATACAGTTTTGAGCAAGGCGTATAAGTGGGACAAAAATTGATATTGCTGCCCCAGACCCTAATTAAACCTTAACCGTAATTAAGGGGCGTATAACTCCAGTTGTATCTACTCATGAGCCATTAAGTCTTTGACTAGGAAAGCATGCGGTCCGTGACATCCGTGTCCCCAAAAGGGGCTAGGGCTTAGGGATTAGGGTTTAGGGCTTAAAAGGCTCATCAGGTACCTGCAGTATTTTGGAGGATGACTGTTAGCTCCGCTCCCGGGCACGGTTTAGGGTTTAAGGTTTGGGATTTAGGGTGTTTCAGGGTGTAAGGTTTGGGGCCTCTATAATTCTTACGCCAAGCACCCTCACTCTAAACCCAGAATCCGTATCTCCAAGCCAGGGACGGCGAAGTTTCAAACCGCAAACCCCTGCTTTGCCCTGCCAAGCCCAAAACCCCAAATCCCTTCTAATTCCCGGGTAGCACCCGCAATCATCCATAGGGTACCTCAGATAGATTTCAACATGAGGCCGCTACATTACACACTCCCCATAAAGCCATCTATTAAATCCAAATTCCATTTAATTGTCCATGCTTGTTCTCCATTTCTGGGGTAATATCCCATATGCCGATATGCCCGTTTAATCCCTATATAGTCCCTTCATACCCTATATAATGCACATCGACGGCCTATGTAGCCCTACCGAGGCTATCCAGAAAGATGCGGTCCCCGCCGATCTTCGCGCAAAATTTGGCGAGGAGTTTCTGAACAGCAACGGCTTCCGCGCAGCAGCGCAGCTGCCTCTAGTGGAGTTGACCCATCGGGAACTAGGGTTTAGGGTTTATGCTTCAAGGGTTTAGGGGTTTAGGAGTTTGGGATACTGGGGGTTCAGCGCTTAGGTTTCGGGGAACGTTTGGAGTTCAGGTTTCAAGATGATCAAAAGGCGTGGGGGTGTAGGGGAGCAGAACCCACAAAAACTAAACTGCGGAAGCCTGAGCAAATACCGATACTGTTCCTTTATAATCCTCTCTTAGATGTAGTACTGATGCCATATAGGAAATGAGTAAATACATAGCCACGACATTACAATCCGTATAGACGCGTCAGTATTCACGCCACCCTCCCCAGCCAATTAAGATGCACTATGGCTGACCTACTACCCACCCACCCCTTGTGGCCGATGATCTGGGTCTTATGACTTAGATCAGATTTATATGTACTATAGTCTAAACTCCTTAAAGGGGGTTATATAGGGGATTATATAGGGGACTACTATAGTGGTTACTAAGGGGGATACTAGGAGTTTAGACTATGGCTCATATAGGGTTTATAGTGTGCAGAGATGATATACAAGCGGAAGGTCTATAGCAGCTTTGCAGAGGGTCCATGAGTTGTCTACAATGTCTATAGTACTGTTACAGAGGTTTTCTGGATGAGTTCTAGAGTTTTACCAAGGTACTTCTAGAGATTTATAAAGCTTCAGGGCTGATAGAGTTATCGCCTGTGTTGTCCTGGGTCCTGGTGCTCATAGAGGTTTTAGGGTTTGTATGGATGTGCCTCTTCCTGGTCCCTTGGCGTGTGGCTCAGGTCCCGTGGCGTAGGGTTTATTGATTGCAAAAAATGGATGGTTCGCAGGGTTTATATATAGATATACATATGCATATGCATATGGCATTATCCCCAGATGGGGACTACACAATGGGTGGGAACGTGCAGCGTGGGCGCATGGGTATAATTGATTTTAAGTCTTTGTGAGAGCACAGATGCCTTAGAGGACCCCTCACCCTGTAACAGTAGTATAATAGGACAATAAGAGGACCCTAATATAATCACCATTATCCCTTATAGTCACTATTACTGGGTGGGGGGTCCACCTAACATGCCATTTCATTGTCCCTTTCCTTTTGTTTGAATCAAAGCCCGAAGCCCCAAGGTGACCTTGCAACTAGTCCTTGTGAAATCACAGTATAATACACCGAAAGCCCTCTTCTGTTTACATAGGCCCCTACATGTATCCTAAACCTTGAGCAAAAATCACTACAACCCGCCCACAGTAAACCCAGTTTCCAGTTTATTTTCCATGGCTCTTCACTCCTAGGGCTTTGTCCCTAAATCCTGGGTTTAGGGTTTAGGGTTTAGGGCTGTTTATCCTAGTAGAACCTTGGAACCCCCTTTACAGGGACCCTGGAGGCTATAACTTCCCCGCCTCGTCCCAGCACCTCAAATACCCTTATCCTTCAACCGCAGGCCCTAAACCCCAAACCCCAGACCCTAGAAATTATGCTTTAGACCCCAAAGCACTAAGGTGATCGTGATTGACGTTCACCGCGTGCAGTCCTCCTGCGGCTTCTCCATCCCCTTCTTTGACTCTCAACAGCTCAGTTGGGCTTAGGATTTGGAGTACGATTGGGGTTTAGGGTTTGGGGTTTCGGGTTTCGGGTTTGGGGATTCGGGTGTAGACTTACTGGCGGCTAGTAGGGTATATAGGAATATAACCCCAGTATCACCCCTGTACAATATATCCTTATTCCTTCCTAAACCCCCAGAAAGTAGAGCTCAGAGGGTGTAGAACTTGGATACTGCTCCCACTCAGTAGCAGCTGCATAATTTTCATATCATAGTTACAGTAGCCCTTAATATCTTCCCCTATTATAGATTGTTGCTGGGAGCACCCAGAGTAGAGCCCGAAACCCTACAAACCTAAACCCAAAAACCCTAAAACCCCAAAGCCCAAAGCCCAAAGCCCAGGGTTGCACCGTAGGGTTGCACTTTTGGGCTTGAAGATTGCGAGAACCCCAGGGACCACATTGATACCATTGTTTCATATAAGGGCTACGGTGGGGTCATACGAGCTATAGTCTAAACTCCTTAACTGGGGTTATAGGGGACGACTATAGGGGATACTAATTGGGATACTATGAGTTTAGACTATAGCTCGCATTGGGGTACAACCCCGGAACTCTTGAGTTTAGGGCCTGAGTTGCACTTTTCAGGGTGTAGGATTCAGGTTTAGGATTGGAGTCTTGGGGTTAGTAATGTTTGCATTATATTGGAGTTATATTGGGATAATGGAAAAGAAAATGGAAACTACCATTTGGGGTTTGGGGTTTGGAGTTTTGGGTTTAGGGTTTAGGTAAGGGCATGGTGGACTCCTCAATTATGCGGCATTTTTTTTCTTCCTAGCGTGCAGCAAGGAGCCAAGAACAGTTCCAGGTGGATAGTGAGCAGGTGTCTCCACATATAAGGCTCATACGATGTTCGTATAAGCAGGTTGTGTGGCTCTATGAGGTCTCCAGAAGCCTTCGAAAGGGGCACCCATGTTAGAACTAGACGAATGATTTTTTCCTTGAAGTGCTTGGAACACTAAACCTTTGACCCTAAACCCCAACCGCTTAACCCTGAACCCTAAACCTGAACCCTGACTGATAAACACCAAACTCGCCACCCTGAACCCCAAACCCTAAACCTTCAACCCCCAATAGTAGTTTCCATTATCTTTTCCATAATTCCTATATAAACCCCCCAAACCCTAAACCGGCGTAGTTAAGGACTACGTGGGAGAAAGGCCAGTATTGCCGCTCGGCAGGTTGAATCTTCGGGTATCAAATGTGGGATTTTAGGGCTTCAGGGTTAAAGGCTCAAGGGTTTCCGGATGTTAGGTTTGTTTGGGGCTTAGGGTTTAGGGTCTTAGAAATGATCAGACGTATCAGGTCTCGTTTTCATTAACTCCTGTGCTATGGAGTAAAGCTTCTTCAGGTCTGTGTGGCGTACCCCGCCCCAGGGTTTAAGAAGATAATAAAGATTATATATAGGGTTTAGGGTTTAGGGTTTAGGGTTTAGGCCTAATAATGGTAGGGTTCTAAATCTGGGGTGGATACCTTTGGGGGGGGGCACTATTATCATCTCTAACCCATGGTCATCCCTAAACCCTAAACCCTACACCGCATTTTCAGCTCCCTAAACTCTAAGGTGCTTCGTAGCTGGGTTTCCTGGGGAGCTCCCGTCCCCCCCTAGACGTCCTTGTTACTTTTCCTACACCAAAGAAAGGGCCCTGTCCCAGGGATCCTAGCCTAGCTTGTTGTTGTTTATTGTCCTGAAATTCCTATTGCCTGGGTAGGTTTCCTCGGGCCTCCTGCCGATGAGAACCTGTTAGGCCCTCGCTTGTTTTTAATGTGATCTAAGGAGATGGGGTCATGTAGTATTATATCTACATGTTGACATAAGCTTCACTTCCTTAACAGCAACCCTGTATAACAGCAGGGCTTAGAAATCCCAACATTCCAAATCAGGACCCCATAATTTTGATATGATCATAAAACGGTCCTTGTTTGAAAGGTTCGGGTAACCCACCTATCCTTAACCCGAAGTCCAAAACCCTAAACCTGTGTGCCGTGGTGCTGAGGATGGACTTTTGGGCAAAGAAGACTGCGCAGGAGGCTCCCCCCACATTCTTTTGGGTTTAGGGTTTAGGGTTTAGGGTTTAGTGTTTAGGGTTTGGGACGTCTGGAAATAGGTTCTTATTAGTAGCATTGTTACTAGTGCTGTTGTTGCTGATTTTGCTAGTAGAACTAGGATTTTTGTCATTGCGACATTCTTTAGGGATGTTTATGGATGTGTTAAAGTACGGGCCTAATGTCATATATATATATATATGTATATATATCATAGGGCTAGTAGAAAAAACATGGAAGCTACTATCTAGGGTTTCGGGGCATCACCCCCCCCAGAATGGAGAATCAAATGGAACAAAAGTGGACAATTAAATGGAAGCCGTGGTTATATATCGGATTTCTAAGGATGATTGCCAACATTGTGGTCCTAGATTCCTTTTAGAAAGTATGGTATAGGCTACCTACAGACCTGAAGATGTTGTTGGTAAGCATTTAGGCCTCTGCATTAATTACATTACGGGCGGTCGGGCGTATGGAGATGAGAAGTTGATTATGGGATTCCCCCCCCCAACGGGGGTTGTGTTGAGAAATTTCAATTATGGAGTCTTCAAAAGTTTGGCTTGCCTCAAACGCTTCCTTGGAATATGTAAGGTCTAGGGTACTCCAAAAGTTAGGTTCGTGTGTTGTGGGCACTGCAGATCCCGACTTTGTCAACCCTGATACTTCTCCTGTAACGCCTGGCTTCTGTGGGAGGGTCAAGAACCCCAGTGCCGGAAACAAAAAAGGCTGGGACTGGGGTTTTGCTCCTGGCGGCAGGCTTGGGGTTGAGTGCAGGGCTCCAGGAGCTGAGGATTTTCCAGGTTTTTGGATCTCTAGGTAGGATGGAGCCGTTCCAGCGGTTCAGGAGTTTAGGGGTTCCACAGGTCTAGGGGTTGAGAATGTATGGCTCTCATTCTGGTAGTAGAAGTAATAGTGGACCGCTATCACTACCAGCACTACGGCTAGCGCTCCAGGGACCAATAGTCATGGTGGTGGTGGTGGCGGTGG